TTATTGTACAACAGGTTTGATAGACACAGAATTTATCATCATTGTAAACTTAATAAATGCTTTGCATGACTAGAATTGACCCCGATAGGGTCAGAGAAATTCCGCTTCTTTGATCATTTATTCAATATGCAAATTGAAAGATTCAGATAGAAAAACTCCTACCAATACCTTGTATATAATTATTGTCATCTATCTTTCTCATCTAAAGCGTCACATACATTTTAACATGATAAGGCGTATTATTACCAACTTCATAAATGGAACCAGAAGGAATATAGGACTTGAAAAGATTTTACTTATACAAATGGAACCCAATTAAGGTTCATAAACTCTCTGCTCACTCGTATAAAATGTTTCTTTAACCTTTATGTTTATGTTTATTTTTCAGTAGCCAAAGTCCGATGGCTCGTTTTATGAGACACGTTGCGCTGAAACACGGATAAAGTCCGATGGTGCAGATGTCAACGTTTATGACGTCACGGCAAAATTCTTAACAAATTTTGTAAAATTTTACGGTTATACAATTTTATAACGAATTACGGATATTGCTTGCACCGAGACTGATTTTGCACACCCCGTTGATTAAATTTGACATTTACATCCTTTATATATATCCTCGCAACTCTCGAGTGAAGATTTTTTAAAAATTGATAAATTAAGGCTATTTAAATACACACTTTTAGCATATCGCACCCATGAAATAAGGGTTAGTTTTCGCATTTATTTATACTTATTTCAAAGACCTTGGCAAGGCGCGGCATTGAGGTTTTGCGCAGTGCTAACATGACGTCATAAACGTTAATTAATTTCCGCACCATCAGACTTTGGTGTGTCAGACCATCGGGGTTTGGCGCAGACCATCGGACTTTGGCGTGACCATCGGACCTTGGAGTCCCATCGCACTTTGGAGTCCTACAAATATAATGGTTATACAAAATTGTTCAATTTCACGGATATAACGATTGGCTTGCGTGATAATTCGAAGGCGTTTATGCAAATTATCACGCAAGCCAATCGATTGATCACATCATGAAATCGAAAAATAAGACAGTTATTCCTTAAGTATTTTTATTTCATTTCAAGATCGTATTCCTACGTCAGATGCCTCTGAGTCTGTGTGTAATATTGGCATTTGATATTACTTTTTTATATTTATTTACGTAAAAGGGTTTTTGAGTTATAAATACTCTATGTACCAATTGCATATTGGATTTTATTTTCAGTGAATGTAACGAATAGTCGACTATCGTTTGAATAATGCAACCGAATGTTCGACTAAGGAAAATAAATATTTTGACATCCCTAGTATTTTCTATTAACTTTTAAAATCATTTTTAAAAGAACATGTGACCAAAATACCATTTATTTGATTTTGTTTTATAATTCATGAGTTATTAAAATTTATTGGACAATACCCCCCTCCAAGAGAAAATCGAAAATCTCGAACATCGAACAAAAATATTTCTCAACGGTACTCGTGTATTTTTGCTCATTTACTCAAACTTCCACCACTTTTGAAGTGGCATAATTATGCTGCACAGTGTTTATAGAACACCTTTTTTCTGGCATGGCGCTTCTTTACACGATGAATATATCAAAGATTGTAACACATAAGTACATATATACAGTAAGTAAATCAAGATATAAAGATTAAAAATGCTTAGAATGAATCACAACTATTTTCTTTTCTTTTCTTAGCTTCAAAGCTAGGTGCAAAAGTCTTGAAATTACAAATCTCGGAAAAGTTTTGAAACTTTAATTAATCAAATTAAATTTAAGTAGTTAAACTAGTTTACTGGTGTCTTTTCTGTAATAAGTTTGATATAATTACTGCTCAATTTTTCGTAATGTGGACAAATCAAACCAAAATGAATGTATTTCTTATTTTGGTTTAACAAAATTCACAAAATCTTCGTTCCTTTTCCATATTTCTATGACATCCAGTTTCTAATTGCAAGGTTATTTAAAGTCATTCTTATTCTACTTAATTATTTTTATGAAGAGGATGGACTGAATAAACAGAGCATCTAGTCAAGACCTCCTGCTCATGGGCCTTTTTTATTTATTTCTAGCCGCAGATAAAGGACATGGCTCAGAAAAAGGCATAGCACAAAAAAAAAAGACATGGCACGCGTGTTCACAATTAAGATTTTTTTAGTGTGTAAATCACTCAGACTTGTCACGAAGACATATTTCATGAAGCGCGATAGCTCTTCATGAAAAATATGCCTACGTGTAAGTCTGTAATTTACACACCTATAATTCACATTAAACTTAAAAACATTCTTTATATTTACATTTTACATGTTTGAAAGCCAAAAATATACTGAATATTTGAATTTCTTCCTATCCTATATCGCTTTTCTTTTACTAACGTCGCTGTAGTTTATTGTGACGTCACGTTAACGGATGTTTCTCCGTGTATATTTCTGCGCATGGGTATACAAATAAATTTCACTGTTGACTTAGTTGAAAAGCACAGCAAATGTAAATATAAACTATTACAACGACATGGACACAGTTTTAGCTTAAAATGAAAATCTAATTTTTTTCCATTTTTTATGTTTACAAATGTTTAACTAAGGTTTTTGAAAAAATCATCAAAATTTTCAGTTGTTGAGATACAAGACAGATTTGGAGTTCCAAACCTTTGTTATATGAACAGGGTCCGTGCAATGTTTTGTTTACATAGGTTAAATATACTAATACAGTTCAACGCACTTTTTAAGCTCAAATGGTTTTTCACACAAATCAAGGTCCATTTTTATAACGCAATATTGTGTTTAGAGGAAACAAAATATACTTTAAAATTGATTGTTTAAATTATTCTAATTTTATTTCATTTAATAAAAACATGATTCACACTACATAACTGGTAGGACTTTTATAAAATCTTAGTTGATAAATTACAACTATTTCCAAATTATTTTTTTATGGTTTCTGTCCGATTGCAGCAGTCATATTATCAGTTCTTCATACATGTCCAAGAACAAATCCGATGTCGATATCGACGATATCGACAATATTATGTCGATATCGTATCGATATCGATCGTTATCAGCAATACTAATTGGAAATACCTAGCGCTGTATTTGAGACTCTATATTATGTCGATGTCGTCGATATCGACAATATCATGACGATATCGTATCGATATCGATCCAATTTGCACAATTTATTTTCCCATTGAGGTATAACATAATTTTAGAAAGTCACAAGTGAAGTCCAAATTGATTCCTTATTGAATATAAAAATAAATTAATATGATAAAGAAAATTTTAATGTTGAAGATATTAGATTTGTGTGAAAATTCTTGAAAATGTTTTAACAATCATGATTCGATATCGACACGATATCGTCGATATCGACGATATCGACAGTAAGGTAAACTTTTTAAACACAGAAGTGATGTAAAAATAAAGTTTTTGTATTAGGATGAAGATTGGTAAAGTAATATGCTCTTAACAATCATGAATCGATATCGATACGATATCGTCGATATCGATGATATCGATGGCACGTAAAATCTTCGTAAAAGTAAAGTATTTAAACATAAACACATTTTAAGAAACAGGGAAGGTATTTACCAAGAGATGAGCAAACATGATTCGATATCGAAGCGATATCGTCGATATCGACGATATCGACACTTCAGGGAAAGATTTATAAAGAAATTTTTAAGTAACAGTTGTTGAAAACACCATATTAAGGATGGAATTCACTATTCCTAGAGCAACCATGATTCGATATCGGCACGATGTCGAGGATATTAACAGTAAGGAAATAGTCTTAAAACAAAAAGTATTGTAATAAACACATGAGAATATAGAACTATTATGGTAAACTATAAAAAAGTAATTTGTCGATATCGTAACTACATCGTGTCTTGGACATAACTCCTGTTCTTTTGAAAAAGAAGATTTTGGCAGAAAATAATGTATAGGCACAATATTGTTCCTGTTACTTGTATTTTTCTGTACATTCTGACTTTATAGCGCATAATGTTAACAGTAATTCTCATCTGTTTGACTGCTTTCTATGTTTAATAGCTGACATCTTTCAGAGTTATTTTCTAAAATCTAGAATCATGAAAGATCCATCCCACTGCAAGATTTTAAAGTTTCATACCGTAAATGTAAATAATTTTCCTTTAAAAAGAAAGAATTCGCTATTTAAAAAGATAAACAATACATCATTATCCTACTTATTCGCATGGTTTCTTTCTGCAGTTTGTCCATTTTCGCCGGTACATTTCTACAAAACCAAGACGAGTATGGTAAATGTGCAAAGTATTTAAAAAAATACTCACCTTCAAGAAGCTAATCTAAAAATTTCAATTAAATGGTTTCAAAGAGAGCTCGTTTTATTCAACTTATATACCTATGGTAGATTCATATAGTTGTTACATCGTATCATTTACTAATACATAACCTTTTAAAATAGGCAATTTTGAAACTTAAGATAATAATGTTTAAGTACATATATCCTTAACATATCCTTCTATATAATACTGTTCAGAGTTATGTCGCCATACTGAAGTTCGATAATGTTAATTTTAGTACAAGAAGAATGTGACCTTTATTTGTGTGATAAACCATGTGAGTTTAAAAAATGTATTCGTTCAAAGCAGATATTTTCATTTTAAAAAGTCACAGCTAAACACGATTTGACAGTTTCTATTGATTTGCTGAATCTTTTTTCTTATAGATATATATTTTCTATATGTAAACAAAAACAAGACACTAGCCTTGTTTACATTATGAAGAAGTTTAAGTTATGTTTCTCCTTTGTAAATCTACAAATGATGTTTAAACTTTTGTTGATTCCTAGAATTGATTAAGTAAGGATTCGAAAAAATTTTAATTGGTTTAATTGGTTAAAAAATACTCAGTTGAACCTGTGTCCATTTCCCTTTAACCGTAGCTGGCTCTTCTAAATATAGAATTCATAACCTTTTAAAATGTCATTGAACACGGAAGGAAAATAATATGGGGTTTAGTTGGGAGTTCATTTTCAAACTTTATTTCTGCTTTGTTGTTTCATTTGGATACGGTATGTAATTTTCAATTTTCAATTTATTTTTTATCAGACACATTTTCCATCATTACCCTTTTATAAACCCGCTTTTTGACCTCAGAAAAAATCCATATATGCATGAATATTTTATATTTGTATGGAAGCAAATTTCTGCCTCAACAAGAAAAAAGATGTTAACATGCGAGAAAAGTATGTCAACATGCAACATAACAATGCATGCCTACATGCATAAAATTATGCTGACACGCAACAAATACCTTTTTTTTTTTTTAGAAAAAAACCCTATAAAACTCATTTTAATGTTGGATTATTTATTTACAAACTTCAGTGTATGAATTCATACAACCACGATGCAACATAATTATGTTAAAATGCGACTTATCTATGTTAACATGCAAGATACCACTAATTAAGTTCATTCAATATACTAAAATTCTCATGAACGATATTACTGTCAGCATACACAAACTACTTATGTCTATACATCTATACTTATGACAGGTAAAATATTTATATGTACATGCGACTTATCAATACAAACTTGCACGATATATTTGAACATATAAGGTACATGTATTTATACCAATTCGCAAGATAATAAGTTGAATGTCAACATGTCTTCATGTACCTGGTTTCTGATGATTATTTCAGGTTACATTTCACTTAAACAATTGATAAAAGTAGCTTTCCCTTGAACGTAGTGATTTAGAAATCAATTAGGGACAAGTAAGTAAACACATGGCAAATATGGAATTTCTTTTTTCTCTTATTGGGCATCAAGGTTGATTGTACACCATTACATGTAAGTAGTTCTGGGTCCACCTGGCATGACATCTGGCCTTTCTAGATTTACCCTCTTCTGCAAACTACTCCTCTTGATGTTATATAGATTCTGTATTTATTGCTTTTTTCCAAGCCGACAACAACTAAAAATATATATGTAAAAAAAGCTACATTAGACAAAAAGAAAATGCCTTCACAATATCACTTTTCGTAATATGGAATATTGTAAATACATATATAATTGTCAACAGATCATGATTTCACAAAGCAATGAGGTAAAATAATTTTTACAAAGGGGCTACATGTAGCCAGAAAAAGTACAAGAGGCCCATGGGCCACATCGCTCACCTAAGCACTGTGGCTAGGAAAAAGTAGAAATTGGTTTATTATTGAAAAGTTTAAATCCAAAAGTAGTCCCATGATCAATCATGGCTTTGCTATTCTTGAGAAGAAGATTTTTAAAGAATGTTCCTATATATTTCTATGTAAAACTTTGGTTGGCCATTTTGGCCCCGCCCTACCCCTGGGGATCATGATTTGAACAAACTTTAATCTACACTACCGTAGGATGCTTCCATATAAGTATGATTAATTATGGCTTCGTTATTCTTGAGAAGAAGATTTTTAAAGAATTTTCCTATATATTTGTATGTAAAATTTTGCTGGGCCATTTTGGACCCGCCCTACCCCCGGGGGTCATTATTTGAACAAATTTGAATCTACACTACCTGAGGATGCTTCCATATAAGTTTCATCTTTCCTGGCACAGTGGTTCTTGAGAAGAAGATTTTTAAAGAATTTTCCTATATATTTCTATGTTAAACTTTGGTCGGCCATTGTGGCCCCGCCTTATCTACAGGGGTCATGATTTGAACAAATTTGAATCTACACTACCTGAGGATGCTTCCATATAAGTTTCATCTTTCCTGGCACAGTGGTTCTAGAGAAGAAGATTTTAAAGAATTTTCCTTTATATTTCTGTGTAAAACTTTGGTCGGCCATTGTGGCCCCGCCCTACCCCCGGGGGTCATGATTTGAACAAACTTGAATCTACACTACCTGAGGATGCTTCCATATAAATATGTCCAATTATGGCTTTGTTATTCTTGAGAAGAAGATTTTTAAAGAATTTTTCCTATATATTTCTATGTAAAACTTTGGTCGGCTATTGTGGCCCTGCCCTACCCCCGGGGGTCATGATTTGAACAAACCTAAATCTACACTACCTGAGGATGCTTCCATATAAGTTTCATCCTTCCTGGCACAGTGGTTCTTGAGAAGAAGATTTTTAAAACATGCCACAAAATTTTTGTTAATTCCCAATTATCTCCCCTTGAAATAGGGCGTGGCCCTTCATTTGAACAAACTTGAATTCCCTTCACCCAAGGATGCTTTGTGGCAAGTTTGGTTGAAATTGGCCTAGCGGTTCTTGAGAAGAAGTCGAAAATGTGTAAAGTTTACAGACAGACAGACAGACGGACTACAGACAAAATGTGATCAGAAAAGCTCACTTAAGCCTTCGGCGCAGGTGAGCTAAAAAGTAATTCATTTTTTTTGAAAAATCTAACCAAAAAAGCAAAAAATTAAAAATCGTATTGTTCAAACTCAAAAATCCCATCTTGTAGTGGTGGTGGTAATAGTTGTGCAATAACAACTTCTCGGGCCTCTCCGACTAGCGGAAAAAACACCCTCGAATGTACGAAATAGACGTCATGACAAACCCCCTTTTCACAAACTTTGAAAAAAAATGTTGGAAGACCCCATTTTGTGGAGTATGGAGTTTTAAGTTTATTGAAATGTAATGATATTACCTAGAATATACAAGAGAAGGCATTTATAACACCTTTAATCCTATATTCTAATAAATAGAAAATGTGAAAATTTTTAACATCCGGTGATTTTAATATATTCGAGGTTGCTTTTTGACCTTTACCTCTGACAAACACCCGAGATGATGCAATTGGATGGTGGTGGTGTGTGTATGGGGGTGGGTGGGTGTCGTAGGTTCTTTCAATACCGATTTTATCTTTACTCAAATTAACAATCTGATTAAAACCAGTCCCTCATGAAACAAACCATGATTTCACAGAATATAAAAATACATTTAATTGTTTACAAATCACAATTTTTAAGAATACATGGAATATTGGAAATACATATTTATTATTGTCAACAATTCATGATTTCACAGAAAACATGTCAAGTTTTAAAAAAGCAACACAAAGCAGCAGAAATAATGACACGAACGCTTCTCCTGCCAGAGCTGTTGACAAAGACATCACGACATGCTCCTCTACATGGGCAGACAACCCGGCTTGGTGGTACGTGGATTTAGAGGAAATAAAAAGTATACATGATATACAGGTCTTCTTTAATGGAACAGACACAGCAAATGGTAAATATATCGAAGACAAAACAAACTTGCAAGTTTATCTAAATATATCCGTGCATTTCATTAAAATCTAATTTGAATTTCAATGAAATAAATGTAATCTTATTTTATGTAAAACACCGAATTGCGGGTTTTCTTTGCGAGTGTAAAATTTGGCGTTTTGCCTATTCAAAGGTATACCAATAATTTTGGCGTAATTTATTTTAGCGGACGCAGGGTTTCAACTTTTTACAGATGGACACTAAGAAGAATACTGACTATTTTAAGCGGACTATCATCCAAACGCCAGAATAAGCCAAATTAGCACCCCGCTAAAATAACCCGCTATACGGTAGTTTAAATAACATTGATCATTGAACAAAACTTTGTTCTAAAAATATAAATTTAGACCTATATTTAATATTCCTAGCATATCATAAGGGAAAATATTCCCTGAGTTAAAGTATGTGAGGCTTAAGTTCAAAGATATTAAATTCAATAAATGTGCAGATTTAAAGAATTTTTCTGCTAAATATCCTTCTAACACATGAAATCAACACATAAATCTTGCTTCTTTATGAAATTTTGAGATGTTTTCTTTTTCATGGAATGCCGAACAATTTACATTGTAAATAATTTATAAAAATTGAATTCTAATTAAAAGTTTGGAAGAAAGTCTCAGGTTCTGTCTTAACTTTTCGAAAAATCCGACGAGTGACAATCCTTAATTAAAGTAACCCATTTAAATAGAAATGTTTAAATGCAGCATTTTACAATTTGCTTTACAATTCATTGTGAGTATATCATACAGTTTCAATATTTCAAAATTTACAATGCAGGTATACATTTAAACACAAATCAAATTAAGAAAAAATGTATTACTTTCTGACTTTCCCACTAATTCTCGGGGTAATATGCTGTGGTGTATATCTCATGGTATTCTGTGCATAGAGGCAATAAAACATATTTTTTAAATGTATGTTTACATTTTCTTTTCATAGTTCATGTTAAAATGTTGACTGATAAATTGTGTACCATAAGCGACTAAAGTCACTTAGAGATTTATCGGTTCATCAAATATCCTAGTTTTTTTTATAGAAAAAATATTTTTAAAAAAATCTAGTTGAATATTATTTTAAAGATTTTATTTTTTAATTTATTTGCTTTATTTTGTAGAACACCGACAGAGAGAACGGATGTATGGATACCAACTTTATGCTTCAAACACAACTGACTTACGTAACTTAGATATGATGCATCATTGTTACAATCACAGTGGACCTGCCTTGCCTGACTTAACCTCTAATCACGTTTGCACAACATTTGGACGATATGTTATCTTCTATAATGAGAGAATTCCTGGTGTGACTTATCCTAATTCTAATGGAGGAAATCAACATTTTACATATGTTCAGTTGTGTGAAATAATTGTATATGGTTAGTCTTAAAAACACGGTATACTTTTACATTAATTACAAGAATGGTATTTTCATATATTTATACATGTATCTACAGATGTACATTCTTCTACTTTATATTGAAATACTCGAAGGATCAAATATTATTGAAAAGTTTTTTAGTTGCGTGTTACAAATACATTTTTTAAATGAAGTTCCCGTCTGAAAACAAATTAACTTACAATGACTTAGAAAAAATGCTAATGTTAAGCACAAAAAAGTATCTAATAGATTTTGTTTAGAATTTAATTAGATAAATAAAATATCACAAGATTTGTTCATATCTGAAGCAGTCCGTTCAAGCTACCTAGTAATGATTTAAAATCTATGAATTTAAATGAAAGACAATAATGTTTGACTTAGGTTGAATACGTAAAAAGGGGACTGTGAATTTTCTTTTCTTTTAGGAAATAATATAATTGCAATGCAATTTCAGTGAAATCTAGAATCCATGCAAACAATTTTGAGGGTTTTTTTTCAAAAACTATTTAAAAATTACAAGTGTTGAAGAAAAATTAGTTTTCTTTGCTGCCTTATATCACATTCAGCAAATTATTATGTTTTAATTTTTTACTTGCTGAAGTATATAGAGATAACGAATAGGCTATTGTCTTTATTATATGTATTAACATTCGACACTTAAATGAAAATGCTTCCTGTCATTCAAGATTTCATCTTATATTATATTACAATAATAAAATATTAAATATCCTTTTTAGGATGTGATACACTTGGAACGTATGGAGATAATTGTTTCAAGAGATGCTCATCAAAATGTCAAGAGAGACGATGTGACATAATCAACGGAACCTGTTTGGGTTGTACGGAAGGATGGACAGGAGATAAGTGCGAATTTAGTAAGAGTTTTAGCATTTTGAAAAGAAAATTTCAATACAAAATTGAACCACGGTTAATACAAAAGTGATGTCACAATTGCTAAACAGATCTTTAAATAATTTTTTTAAAGAATTAAAATTTCGTATATTAAAACTTTAACTTATTTTAATTTTCACTCAACTAGGGTTTTGTCTTTTCTTCTTTCATCCAAGGAAAAAATCCATCGACGTAATGACCTTTAATCGTCTTCATTCGACGTTCATTTTGAATAAAACGGTGCATGAAATTTATGCAAAAACTATGATGAATGTAAAGATAACTGAAATTTATCAAGATCAAATGTCTTTAAAAAAACAAATTTAAATCATTGCAAACATAGACCTTTTCAATATCAGATATGGGATCATGTGTCATGAAGGAGAAAGCATCCCATGTTTCTGTTCAAAGCAGTTGTGTGTCGGGACATAATCAAGAAATCAGGAAAATCATAAACAATACAATGTGAAAATAATTACGTCATACTTTTTATGAAGTATGTCAATTTCAGATATACATTTAGATAACATTCATTTTTGTAATTACTCCGAAATTTCAATTCAAATGTACCTCAGAATGCTTCCACACAAATTTCAGCTTTTTTGTCAAGCGGTTCTTGAGAACAAGAAAAAAATCCAATATATTTCAATGTAAAACTTGGATTCCCTATTGTGACCAGGCCCTACCCCCGGGGGTCATGATTTGCACAATTTTGAATTTACAAAACCCATGGATGCTTCCACATTAGTTTCAACTTTTAATTCCCGGTAAGAAGAATATCTTTAAAAAATTGTCCAATATACTTCAGTGTAAAATTTGGCTTCACTATTGTGGTTCATCCCTACATCCGGGGATCATTATTTGAACAATTTAGAATCAAAAGTACCCCAGGATGCTTTCACTTAAGTTTCTGTTTTTCTGGCCCAGTGGTTCCTGAGAAGAATATTTTTTTAAATACCCCACCCCATATTTTTGTCTTGTCTTGATTATCTTCCCCTAGCAAGAGGACAAGGCCATTCAATAAACAATTCAAACTCCCCCTTCACCAAAGAATACTTTTTACTAATTTTGTTAAAATTGGCACAGTAGTGTGAAAAGCTTACAGACGGATGGATGACGGACATTGGATAATCAATAAAGCACTCTTGAGCTTTCAGCTCAGGTGAGCTAAAAAAGAGGAGAACGGGATATGTTTTTATGGAATTATTGAAATGAAAGCCCCACGAAGTACCTTCATATCGACATCAATAACATTCCGGTGTGATGTTGAATATTGACCCGAGTTGAAAATTGACCCGGGGTTCATTTTTCAACATTGATTATTGAATCGGGGATGTTTTTTCTCCGTTGAAAATTGAGACCAAAAGTCGTTGGATTTATACCCGGGGTCATTTTTAAAGAGCTTGTATTTTTTCTTTTCCCTGATGACCTCAACAAGTTGAAAATTGACCCTGTTGAATATTGACCCCATCTCAGAGTTTGAACATTTTTTTGAACCGCGAAGTTGTTTTACGGGCTTTATCAGCATCTCTATATTTAGATTTCGGTTTAAATTTTTTACCCTTTTTATGAATAATAGAAATAAACTTATCACTCCGTGTATATATGAAAATTTTAATCAGTTTACGATTTCAGTTATCTTCAAGCATGACAACTTTATTATTTGACAATACTTTCTAAAATCCATAGCATCCACAAATAACTACAAAACTATGAATAACGTATTAAACAAAAATCTATGAAATCTGGTGTCTAGAAAGTGAGCCCTATATATTTTGATCAGGCGGGCAGAAATGAATCCAATGATAGATTATATTTGTGAAAAAGATCAATATAGCGACCATTGCATGTCGTAATGCTGACTTAATCAAACTTATCTTTCAGTAACCTGCCTCGGCTTAAAAATAGATCGTTTTCGGAGCATAACCTTGCGAATGAGATTATTATTTTTCTTAAAAAATATCATTTTGATTCGATACAATGTGATTCCTTTTCGATTATTTGTTATTCCTATTCGATAATTTGTAATTTGTATTCGATAAATTGCTTTTCACATCGGAGGAAATATGACAATATAATTCCTATTTCATAATTTATAATTCTATTCGAAAACACGCGTTTCCTCTTTGATGTCATTAATATTTGAAAACATGCTATTCCTATAGCTATTCGCTAATTTTGCCATTCTTGCATATTCGATAATTTCATCTTTCTTATTCGATTATTATTTGGTTTATATGCAATAAAGTTGATGAACGAAAACATACTAGCATCCATTTCTATTCGAAAAAATACGATTTCTATTCGATAAATTTCTTATTGCATAATTTTATTTCTCTTATGCGATGTTTTTATTCTTTTTCAATAAATGCATTCTGGGAAATATGACAAAACTAGAACTGGTTGTAAATTCAATTAAATAGGAATGCATGTTTAACATGATTATCGAATATTAATCATTTTATTATCGAATTGAAATGACAAAATTATCTCATAGGAATCAAATATTTTCGAATAGAAAAACAACTTAAAGGTGACGAATTCTCGGACAGAAATAACCTTTTTCGCACAACAATAACAGCTGATCGAATAGGAATCATATTTTATCGAACAGGAATGAGATGATTTAGAAAAAGAAAAACAAAATTTTTGAAGAAGAATAACAAAAATGTATAATAATGCAACGTTTTCCCCGCCATACCATAAACAGGTAATAGCAGAATACACGTATTACTTTACAAATACGGAAAGTTTACTTTGGAAAAAATGAAAAGAAGAAATCATTTTTCTTATACAGTATAATTTCAGTTGGCCTTCATCTTTCATAGTCAATAAAACTTCCAAACATGAAATAGTTATGACACATTCAGTGGTGACTTTAATTTAAAGTTTACTGGGATATATCGAGTCGACATATGAACTAAAGTAACTATTGTTACTTGATCATTGGTGTATCTAAATGTTGAGTTGAACCCCACAGGAAGCGTTTTCTTCTTGTCATGTTAAGTTTTTTTTCAAATACATTCTGATTCTGCTTCATGAAAATATTAAAACAGGTCGGCCAATAAAGGAAAACAATTAGTGTTCATCGAAATTCCAAATTTTGAAGGAAGACTGCAAAAACGGTGTCGATAAGGAACTCCAGCTTCCTTTTTATATCAACTTCAGGATACTTTTTAGGTAGAATCAGGATGATTTTTAACAAAGTGATTTTTGTTGATGACCTATCACAAGATACGAAAATTTCTGAATTCTATTTTTTATTGAGAAAGGAATGCTTGTTACGACTGTACAAAAATTGTACATTTTGATGTTACTGACTTCTGACAAAAATGGTGATGTCAAATTTTCTAAAGTGGGGGGAAAGCTAAGCATCCCTAGCCCCCCCCCCCCCTACCAGTTCCCAATGCCTATGGATTAAAGCAAAGTTGTGAAAACCAAGTCATAAATATGTGTTTTTATGCTGTTGAATTTAGAACCGGTTTCGTGATCAAAATTCCACGACCCTGCTCAGTTTTCAACGGACTAGGGTCTAAATTAAACACATTTGGTCTCAGTATTCAACGTTGAAAAATGAACCCCCGGGTCGATTCTTAATCCGGGTCGAATATCAACGTTACACCGGCATTGCGGCGATAGGGAAAATCTTTCGTTGGGTCCTATAATGTCAATGAACTGCAGTATATCAAAGAGGAAAAATTATTACGGCAAAAATTAAATATACTATAGTTTGAAAAGGTTTGTATATGGACGTTTTTAGACAATATACGGTATATCATTAAAGAAAAAGCAGCAGTTTTGTCATAAGAAATATATGTTTTGATCAACCTACAGTGATGTGCCATAAGTGTTCGTCCAAATTCAATTTTCATTACGTCACCTTACATGTCGACGCTGTATCTGTTAACCATGGCGTCAATGTTGACTGAATAAGTATATATTTATAGCATATCCATGTGATTGTCACGTGTCACAATTACGTAGCAAAATTTTTTTTCGTCTGCTGTGTATTTCCAATGTAAACAAAATGAGTATCGTGCATAAAGAATTGAGCACTGATGTTAACGAAGTCATTGTTTCTCTTAACCTGTCTGGATTAAAACATTCAGAAATAGCCAGGAGATTACGAATTCCCCGGTCTACAATAACATCTGTAGTTGACCGGTATCGCAAGCGGGGAAGTGTAGAAAACATTCCGAGGAAAGGGAAGCAGGCAAAGCTGAGTGACAGAGACAGTCGCAGCATTTTAAGGTTGGTGAAAGAAAACAGAAAGAGAAAATTATCATACATAACAGCCTTATTCAATGAAAATAGAGACTCTGCTATATCTAAACGGACAGTTCAACGGAATTTGTACAAATAGGGGTATTTTAGAAGAGTTGTTCGAAAGCGCATCAGAATTCGCGAAGTGAGCAGAAAAGCCCGACTCTTCTGGTGTAGAGGAAACAGGTACAAAACTATCGATATTTATTGGAACAGGGTAATCTTTAGTGATGAATGAAAAGTGGACGTTGGGACTGATAACCGTGTTTTTATATGGAGAAAGGTGGGCGAAGAGTGGATGCCATGTTGTCTCTCGCAACCTCCAACACCGAAGTTAAGTTTAATGATATGGGGCTGCATCACTTTCAACGGTGTAGGAACTGTGTCTGTTGTAGATGGTAACATTAATGCTCGAAAATACATTGATGTAATTGAGGATCAACTTTGGCCAGTTATAGCACGCCATTTTCCTCGAAATAACTATATATTTCAAGACGACAACGCCCCTATTCACAAAGCCCGAATAGTTCAAGAATATGAATTACAGAATAATATGCATTCAATGGTTTGGCCCGCTCAGCTAGAGTCCTGATTTGAACATTATTGAAAATATATCTGGTTGAGACTGAAAAGAGAACTGAAAAACGGCAACGAAATATTCTTGTGTAAAAATCAGCTGGAGGCAGCCATTCAACGTATCTGGATAAACATCCCGATTTGTTATGTTCAGAGCTTATACAGGTCGATCCCAAGACGAATATAGAAAGTTCTAAGGTCAAAAGGCTATATAACTAAGTATTAAGGTAAGAAAAAATATTTTATAATTTTATTTCTGTGTTTTTTTTCTGAAGCGTCTCGTTACTACGGCGGCCATTTTGAATTTGGACGAACACTTATGGCACCAATCTCTCATGAAGAGTTGTCGTTCGTTCCTCTCTCAGACACCTCTGCAATGGGCTCACGTCAAGATTTTTGACATATAAAACGTCATATTTGCAGGATTTTTTCAAATTAGAATAATAGTTCTGGATTTATTTAGTAAACATCTACCTCAAAACTCAGACATAACCATAGAAATTGAATTATAATGAATTAAAACAAACGCACTATTTCTTGTGTTTATCACTGTGATATACGCGAGCCGATGGTAGAGAGTGTTATGGCACATCACTGTACATTCACAAAACTTAATATGAAAAAATAACAAAAGTGTAAAAATACACTGTTTTTCAATAAATCATCCTAGCTATGATATTTGTGTTTTCATTTACTTTTCAGAAAAAATGTGGGTTATAATTGGGGAGATGGCAAACGACTTAAGTTTAGTTTGTCTGCTTTATTTCTAATGCAATATGAAAATTGCTTCTATGATCCATAGCTTTCTGTCGGGACTCTGTTGACAAATATACTAAAAGCTGTACGTATGGTAAAAAAGGGATAAATTGGTTTTACATGTATTGAAACCATCCTTATCATTTTTTATCATGCAAGCAATTGATTGCTAAATTCTATTTAAAATATTCTATCAATTTAAAACTCTTAAAGTTCTTTCTACTTAAATCAGATGAATTTTAGGTTTATCGTAATTAATTTATATACATTTATTGGTAAATATTTCAGGAAGCTTTTTAAATTAAAATTTCTTTTAACTTCTTTATTTCGATTTAATTTCAATAAAAGCCTGTCCAGAGGGATATCATGGACTGGAATGTAGAGGTATTTGTTCTAACAACTGCCTACGAAACAGAACCTGTAATCATGTGACTGGGAACTGTGACAACGGCTGTTCTGATGGATGGACCGGAGGGCGTTGTAACATAAGTATTAATTCTTACTAATTTGCTTTCAAATTTATTCTTTTGGAACAAATGAATTTAATTTTTGAAGATTCATGAGGTTATGAACTACGACGCTTCACGCCGGCATATTTCTTACAGCGCGTTAGCTAATGATGTTAATTTTTAACTTTTACTAAAATGTTGTCAATTTTAATATTAAAGCCTAAATTTTGAACTGTTTTTTCCAGGTAATTCACAATATATTTGCTTTATCTGTCAAAAAGAACGCATTCCAAAATCAAAACAGAAAATCTTTTTTCTGTTATAAGCATTTTGCCCTCAGGTAATGACAAAATCAAACGAAAAACAGAATTTTATATGATATTTATTAAAAAGATGGTGAAAATTCAGAATTTTTTTAGTATATAGACGATCAAGCATAAAAACCAAACTGATTTGAAAACATTTAGAGGGAAGATGGACAATGCTTGTTTTGAACATATTTTATTGACAAAATGTCAAAGGGATCGGACACAAGTTCTAGCAACTTAGATAGTCATCTCCCATACATAAAATCCCAATAGCTATACAACATTTACAAAATATTACAATAATATATACATGTACATAGAAGAACAAGGACAATTGTTTTATGAATAAGGAAATAATATCAATTATTAATAATGGTGATAATAAATACAGTGTTGATATTATAAAAATATAATAATTTCAATAGAGATAATACAATTCAGTGGTAATTAAAACGACTTGATTCCTGAATAAATTTTTGAACAATACCGAATATTTTTTCATTTTCCTGCGAAGATAAGGAATCATCTCCACATAGTAATTTATGCACATTAATCATTTTTACATTATTAGTTACTAGTAGTAGGACAATGCTTATATACATTAAACGATAGCAAGACTTTAAGGGGTAAATTTACCTTCAAAGACAATAACTGATACAGCATTTATGACTTGACACGTCTTATAGATACATGAAACAAAAATCTACAGGGTAAATTTCCTCTCAAAAGCGTCACTGATACAGATTGAAGGTAGTGAGATTTTACAAGGTAAATTTTCCCCCCTTTAGAAAATCTTTGATATAGTACAAATAACTTGCAAAATCTTAAAAACCTACAATGTACAGTCGAGAGTTAATTTCATCTCAAAAATGACATTGATACAGTTAAAATGCAATAATGCAATGCTAAATCAAAAATCTTGACGATATCAGGACTTTACAGGTTAATTTCCCCAAGAAATTCACTAAATACAGTATTTATGAATAGCTACATTTTAAGATAGCAAAAATCTACAGAGTAAATTTGCTCTCAAAAATAACATTGATACAGTTGGTATACAGTAATTCAAAGCAAAAACAACTATCTTGATGACGACAAGACTTTACGTAGTAATTTCCCCCAAAGAAAATAAATGAAACAATATTCACCACTCTTCGAAAGAGCGAATATTACAATTTGAAAATAGCCGAATTCAAAATGACAATGAAGCAAAAGCAACTATCCTAATAGCAAGTCTTAATGGGGTAAATCCCCCCCCCCTCCAAAGAAAAGATCCACTAATACACGTAAAGTATTCATTATCTTCAAACACTTCGAAGATAGCACAATCCACAGAGTCAATCTTCTCTACAAATAATTATGATACTGGCACGTATCATAATGTATTTCAAAGGAAAGGCATCCATCTTCAAATAGCATGATTTTACGGGTAAATCCCCCCCCCCAAATATCACTGATACAGAATTTATGACTTGAAACATCTAAAAGATAGCAAAAATCTACAGGGTAAATTTCCTCTCAAGGACACATTGATACAGTTAATACACAGTAATTCAAAGCTGAAGCAACCACACTGATGATAATGAGACTTTACGGGGTTAACCCCCCCCCCACCCCAAAGAAAAAAAATATTGAGACGGTATTAATAATTTCCAACATCTTAAGAACCCACGAAGTAAGTTTCCTCTCAAAACAAAGACACAGTTCATCTACACTAATTCAAAGCTATAGCAAAAATCTTGATGATAGCAGGACGATGATTTTACGGGGTAAATTAATTTCCCCTTAAGAAAAATCACAAATACATTATTTACGACTAGCAAGATTTTAAAATAGCAAAACTCTACAGAGTAAATTTCCTCTCAAAAATGACATTGATACTGTTTATTCACACTACATAGTAATTCAAAACAAGAGCAACCACGCTGATTAAAGCAAGACTTTACTGGGTAAATTTTCCCCCCAAAGAAATTAAATAAACAGTGTTCACTCCTCTAAGAAAAAAGCAAACATTACACTGTGAAATAGCAGAACTCAACAGAGTTCATTTTATCTCAGGAACTCCCAATGAAGCAAAAGCTACCATCTTACAAGGAAGACGCTACGGGGTAAATTTCCTCCGCAAACAAAAAAAATCTCTGATACGTGTACTGAATCTATGATTTGAAAACACATTGAAGGTAACAATCTACAGGGTAAATTTCCTCTCCTCTCTGAAAATAATACTGGCACTGTCAAAATGTATTTAAAAGCAGAGATACCATCTTTCTGATAGCAAGACTTTACGGGGTATATCCTCCAAAGCATATCACGGATTCGGAATTTATCATGCTTCAAAAATTTTCTCTCAAAATATTCGACTGATACAGTTTATATTACTGTAGACGTACTTTTTTTCTACGGGGTCATACTTCCGAGGAATCTCAATTTCTGTTTTATCCGCGGGTAGAAAATTACGCGGATTTCTTAGACTGTCACTAAATGCCTTACATGTACATTTACATTAAGTAAGCTTGGACAAATTTCCGCGGAAAATATGTGACCGCGTATATAGCGTAAATTAATAACACGCGGAAAGGTACTTATACAGCATGTACAGTATATAAACAAAACAAAAAATATCACATTTTAAAATAACATGGATAAATATTTCAAGCTTAAGATGATAAAAGCAAGATTGTACGGGGTAAAATTCCCCCAAAAAGGGTATCATTGATACAGTAACAGTTATTATTCACAGTAAGAAAACAAACATTATTTATTGAAAACAGCAAAACATTACAGGGTTAATTTCCTGAAAAAATAAATTGATACAGTATACAATTTTTACAGGAAAAAAATAAACATGTTAATTCTCATTGACAAAAAGACTTTCGAGGGACATTTTTATCTCAATATACCAATGGTGTAATACATTATTTTATAATCTATAAATAAACAGCACATAATCTATACACATGTACAAACACCTACAGTTCATTATACTGATTTGAAGCCGTATTCAATGGGAGGAGGGGGTTCAATGCGCGTGCAGCGGCATGTTTAGGTCACAAATAATATGTCAAAGTAGGTTGAAAATTGTATTGTCCAATCTGTATCTGAGAGGGAAAATTCTTAGGCAAGTCCGTCTCTGGATTATTGTCGAACATTTTGATTTCAACAACATTGATCACGTTTACTGTCTTGGACCGAAGCTCCACTTCTATGCTTTTCTTTCTGTATTGCGTGTCATGAATCTGATCTTACTAAGACTGTTATAATCTCTAAATTTTGTCAGCATCTAAATATGCTATCTATCAAACCAGAAAGCTCAAGCTGACCTCTGAGAAATTGTCGACAATGTAAATCCATTGAAATTCATTTCATTTTACTTAGTTACTTGTTTTACATATACTCTACTACTATCAGATAAGTATAATTATTTCATGTGGAATTATATTAATAAATACATAATTGAAAATGTTCATTTTTCAAAAATTAATGTAACAAAATCGTGAACAGTTATTTTTTCTTAAAAAGTCCATCGATTTATACTGCAAAAAAAAAAACTCCTCTAACATTAAAATAAAAAAGGAAGGAGCAATACATGTATTGATAAAACTTTGTTCATCGTCATTTTCAAAATTAAAAAAATGCATTTTTCTATTTAAATATAATTTTTCTGTATACATTTATCTAGTATCTAGGCAATAAAGTATAATTTTTTTCTTTTAATTATTTGACTGAATAAAACTTCTGCGGGATGGACAAAGTGATACCATTGCCTCCTAATACCTAAAGAATAGATGCTGAGCACAAATTGCTCCTAATCGTTTACTAATCCGTGGAAGATCTGATAACTTTATGTACTGCTATCATCAAGATTTTTGCTTTAACTTTGAATTAGTGTAGGTGAACAGTGTCAATGTCATTTATGAGAAGAAATTTACTCTGTGGGTTCTTCAATAAAGTCTCAATATCATCAGTGTGGGTGCTTCAGCTTTGAATTACTGTGTATTAACTGTATCAATGTGTCCTTGAGAGGAAATTTACCCTGTAGATTTTTGCTATCTTTTAGATGTTTCAAGTCATAAATTCTGTATCAGTGATATTTTGGGAGGAAATTTTCCCGTAAAATCATGCTATTTGAAGATGGGTGTCTTTGCTTTGAAATACTTTATGATCCGTGCCAGTATCATATTTGTAGAGGAAGTTGACTCTGTGGATTGTTGCTATCTTCGAAGTGTTTGAAGATTATGAATACTTTACATGTATTAGTGAATCTTTTGGGGGGAAATTTACCCCATTAAGACTTGCTATTAGGATAGTTGCTTTTGCTCCATCGTCAATTTGAGAGAAAATTAACTCTGCAGAATTCGGCTATTTTCAAATTGTAATATTCGCTTTTTCGAAGAGTGGTGGATATTGGGTCTTTTTTTTTCTTTGGGGGGAAATTTACCCCGTAAAGTCTTGCCGTCATCAAGATAGTTATTTTTGCATTGAATTACTGTATACCAACTGTATCAATGTTATTTTTGGGAGCAAAGAACTATATGCGGTATATTGCATATATTTGCCCCCACAAAAGTCAAATTTTGAAAACTTCCTGAATTGTGCTGAATTCAATAAATTGTATGAGAAATATAAATTAACAGAAAATATTTTAGTGTCAAAGCAGTGTATTCCCAATTTTTGTTTTATGACGTCACAAACTAGTCCGATTTTATATCCTTTATCAGAAAGAGGACAAAATGGACAAAATTTCAGCAATTTTAGCTTTAAAATTTATAGAGCGCAAGTTTGTTCAGGAACAATATTGACATATTTCATTGATATTATCATTCTACACATTATATCAAAATATTGATCCTGAACACACATGCGCTCGGTGACTTTTACTCAAAATATCGACGAAAAATGTACATTTTTCTGTAAAATTCATACAAAACTGAAATTTACGTCATGTTTGTGACGTCATTACATGTACGTACATATGGCGTCAATACTTATGAAAATATTTAGTGCTTTGAAGTCAGCATATACTCCCCTGTGAAATTACTTAATTAAATATATCTCCATCAAAGTTTGATTCGGGGGGCAAATATTGGTTATTTCCGAATAAAGTTCTTTACTCTGTAGATTTTTGCTATCTTAAAGTGTAGCTATTCATACATACTGTATTTAGTGAATTTCTTGGGGGAAATTAACCCCGTAAAGTCCTGATATCATCAAGATTTTTGCTTTAGCTTTGCATTTTTGTATTTGAACTGTATCTATGTCATTTTTGAGAGGAAATTTACTCTCGACTGTACATTGTAGGTTTTTAAGATTTTGCAAGTTATTTGTACTATATCAAAGATTTTCTAAAAGGGGGGGGATTTACCTCGTAAAATCTCACTACCTTCAGTGTTGTTGCTTCAGCTTTTATTAACTGTGTATAATCGGTATCAATGACTCTTTTGAGAGGAAATTTACCCTGTAGATTTTTGTTTCATGTACCTATAAGTCGTGTCAAGTCATAAATGCTGTATCAGTTATTGCCTTTGAGGGTAAATTTACTCCGAAAGTCTTGCTATCGTTTAATGTATATATATGCATTGTCCATCTTCCCTCTAAATGTTTTCAAATCAGTTTGGTTTTGATGCTAGATCGTCTTTATACTAGAAACATGCTGAATTTTCACCATCTTTCTAATAAACATCATATAAAATTCTGTTTTTCTTTTGATTTTGTGAATACCTGAGCTTAAAATACATGCTTAAAACAAAAAAAAGATTTTCTGTTTTGATTTTTGAATGCGTTATATTATAAATAATTCATGGCAGTTAATTTAATTCGTCATATGATTCAGAAACAACATGTTTGCAAAAAACATTTCAATGCACAAAATAGTACTTGTGCACAGAGTGCATGTAAAAATAGGAATCCAAACGTTGCAATACTGTAAATTCTTTGAAAGAGAAATATTGATCATTTTCTACTTAAAAATATCAAAACAAAGTTCCTCATATAATGATTTTGATATGGAATTTTATCATTATGTTTAATCGAATACAGTTTAATTTGCACTATAAAATCCAAATGCATTGTAAGAACCAAAAAGATATGTATTTTCCTTGAAGATAAATCCTACTAAAAAGCTCAGGAATGAACCTTTATAATCTGTTGCATCAAAATACACTTTTATTGAAAACCCTTTGATAGAAATAGAAAGTATTGAAAAATATAATGAATTGATAAAATTCCAGCATGTACAATGGGAACATACGGAGCAGGATGTTCACAGAACTGTAGCGGTAACTGTAAGAATGGCACCTCTTGTAACAGAGTGACAGGGTTCTGTGACAGCGGGTGTTCTCCTGGATATATCGGCGAAAGATGCAAAAAAGGTATAGTATACATTTTCTTTATTTCACCCAACTAGGATGTGAAACAATATGCATGTGTATTTTAATTTTTATGCGCCTGGATCGATAGATCCGAGGCGTACATTGTTTTTGTCATGTCTGTCTGTTTGTCTTTTTAACTGTTTGTCTGTTTATTGTCAACTTTAACCTTCGCCACTTTTGAACCGTGACAGATATGGACTTCATATTTGGTATGTATACTTCACTAATAAAGCTCTTTCAAATGACACCAAGATTAATGACCTTGTTATCTCGACTTATATGCTAAATATAGCATTTTCGAACTTTTGCCCTAACTTTTGAACAATAGGAGTTTGAGACTTCATATTTGGTATGCATCATCCACTAGTTAAGTTCTTTTAGTGACACCAAGGTCAATGACCTTGTGACCTTGACAGTGACTTGTATGATAAAAATAGCTTTTAAGAACTTTGTTGCCACCGGACGCATAGTGTTTCACAAACACATCTTGCTTAATCTGTGAAAGTGTACCTTGTACATATATGTTACCTCTGCAAATTATCAGTAAAATACGAAATGCACATTGTTTGAATGTTTTAGCGCTTACATTTTTAAACGTGTATTTCAGTATGTACTCAAGAGACTATTGTGGCAGATTGTTTTGAAAAGTGTAGCATTTACTTTCTCAATAGGACCTCCTCATGTACTGGACAGCATTGTGATCAAGGTAAGTATTACTGTCCTTATCTTTGTGTATGTTACATTAAATATATGTTCCTGAATTCTAGGAAATACATGAAATTCCTAAACTTCTTTGGAAATACACACATATTTACTGATTTCAGTTAGGAAGTGCATGTATTTACTGAATTTTCAATACTTTTTAAACGTTTTTGGTGAGATAATTTAAACTATGAATTAAAAAAATATGATAAAAATATATGGAAAGTTTATTGAATTCAAAGATAATATCAGTAAGCATATCATGTGAATAAAAAACATATACTAGTAAAGTGAATCTTTATCTATTTATATCTTTATTTAATATAAAAAAGTCAACATTATTCAACTTATAAAATGTTTTCTTAAGATGTCTGTACGGGATTAATGTCGCAGCTGTTGCAGAAATATACATAACGCGTATTTTTTTCTGCAATAACTGCTACGTTAATTCCTTTACCTACGAGGGTCATTAAAAATACTTTAAGAAGATTAAACATAAACTCATATTCATTCGTAAAAAAAAATCATCTATTTTGTCGATCTGTGAAGTTTCATTCCATCTGATTAAATGTAATCATGTAAGTCTATCTTAAAAGAGATATGTTTTGTCATTACGGAGCAAGTTTAACAAACATTGTACATAATGTCAAAAAGAACTTCAACAAAGTTTCTCAAAATACTTTTTATTCTATACACGGTTTGTAAAGTCTTTCCTATTCATCAAAATGTTCCCATAAAACTTGTCACTTACTTTGCTAACAATTATTCTTGTAGCAAAAAGTTAGATTTTCAATGTTTTCAAATTCTTTACCGCGTACTCTACTTTCACGAGTTCTGCAACAGTGAACAGAAGATAACGGTTAATGACTTCACTTACTCCTTTGACAAGGATTTTAAAATATAAACTGTTTTCTGCAACAGTGAACAGAAGATAACGGTTAATGACTTCACTTACTCTTTTGACAAGGATTTTAAAATATAAACTGTTTCTTTGCAGACCATGTAATACATGGAAATAACGAACATTATTATATACCAAACTATGTATCACTCACGTTTAATGCAGTCACGAGACGAAGTACGTAAATACATGACGTTAAATTTTCTTGCAAATCAAATACCGGTAGTTCCTTGTCATTAAGCCTTGTTTACTGGATTTATATTATGAAATTGATCTCTGAAGATTTTTTAAATTGTAAGGGGGTATACAATAAATTTATTTTAAGAACAGAAACTTGATCAGAAGAGCCGTATCACGTCTCGTTGACGTAAAGCGTTTCGTGTTATCTGATGATCCGCGCCTGTCAACAAAACGTGAAACGACCCTTCGGATCAAATTACTGTTATAATAAAATATATGTATTTAAGTACGAAAGTCCATTAAACAATATAAATAGGAGCAAAACAAACACGAACCTCCAAAACATTTGAAGTGGGATCGAGTGTCATGGAGGTGTGAGCATACCTTTATAGGTTTATTCCCCGAATGGCTACTCGGAAAAAACAACAAGTAATTATCTCACTCAATTAAGGGGCCCTCTAAGGGGTACAGGTAGACTTACCTGTATGAATAATCTCCAAGAATTTAAATAAAATAAAATGAATTTTATTTCAATTTTTTTTTTATTTGAACACTAGTATGAATAAATATTTTCTATACATATTTTTTTTTTAAATAAATAATTTTACAAGCAAAAAACATTATAAAAACTATGAATTATCTTGAAGTTCTATTGTTTAGCAGCACTGATTTTCACATTATATATTAAATAGCACTGTTTCACTTTCATATCACACACATTTACAATATTTACAATTTATTTAGTCCATATCTCTATATGTTTCATCACAACTAAGGGATCAGTATCCAAGGCCGTGAAGAAATTCAGATGCAGGGTCTGTGTAGGTCATTAGATCAATGATGCCTTTCTGATATCTTTCTTTCAGTAACTTCAATCTTCTCTTTATACTTGCATAGTTACTTTTTCTTTTAAACTTATTACGATAATTTTGCTTATTAAAAATTTCAAAATCAACCGATATCAATTATCAGTTGCTTCATCAATTACCTTTATTAACTTTGGAATTCCTTAAAAATCAAAGAGATCTGTATATCTATGAGATGCAATGTCTCCGGTTCAAATAAAACACAAACACATCTGTTTTTATCTCGAATCGTCTATATTTATTATAAAAATTGCAACATAAACGTCTTCATTTTATGATGATTTAAAAGAATGTTTGAATAATTAAAAATTAATAAAAAAAATGATAACTAAATAAATTAAATTAGACAAAACTTTACAGAAACACTTTAGTTGTCATACATAAATATCTATATTATTTTAAGAAAAAATCATTTTTGTTTATTTATTTAAAAGAGTTTGAAAATGTAGCAAAAAAGGGATAATAATTTGCAAATTCTCAATAATACTGAATAGTTTGGAAAAAATGGAATAAAAGGTACAATAAAAATTTCATTTTTCTTAAATCTTAATTTTATTTATTTACAATCATTTATCTATCTTTTTATTTAGTATATTTCTGAAAATAAAAAAAAAAACCCTCTTAATTGAAATAAAATTAAATGAATATATCTGATTTATAAAATATTGCTTATCCAGGAAAACACAGGTAAGTCTACCTGTTTCCCTTAGAGGGCCCCTTAATTGAGTGTGATAATTACTTGTTGTTTTTTCCGAGTAGCCATTCGGGGAACACACCCCTTTATAACATAAATTGCAACGTTTTGAAGGTATAAACATAAATATACATAAACATAAACATAAAAAAACTAATCTAGAAGACGAACTTCAATTATTTTACAGCTACCATGAATTTTGTGTCCCCCACTAAAAAGTCGACCTGAATTGAAATTTGTTTGAACAAGCAAACTTATAATACCATATCATACTTTTTACATTCCTTTCTAAATTAATTTTGCAGACAAGAAAGAGCACGATTGTGATGCAAATGGTACAATTGCAGGACTTGCTGCTGCTTTAGGGATTTCTTTACTTTTAAATGGCGCCCTTATTGTGTTCCTGTTTTACTGGTTTAAGAGGTAGGACATACTCATTTAAGAAAAAAGATATCGTATTTATAGTTTCATTGGGATATGACATAAAATCGGTCACGTGATCAAATTCTATAATGCCCGAAGGGCATTATAGTTTATTTGATCACGTACCGGCTTGTCATTCCGAATGAAACTCTTAAAACGATATATTTATAATTTCATATTTTTGTGAGTGTGACAAGGAAAAATAGGCACTATTTAGACTTTGTTATGGAAATGCAACATAAGTTTTTTCCCTTTTGAACTATAACAGTACTCTTTATTTTGGATTCCTATTTTCCATGCTGGTTGCACACAAAGCTGTTTTTTTATTTGAATTTTAATTAAGCTATGCATGTAGAAACTTAAAATATACTTGGCAAAAAAAGTTTAAGACTTTAAATATCAGGATCGAATAGAAAATAGAAATGGTAAATTGCGTTTGAAAACTAGCAGGGACTTTTGGCAGAATGATTGCGCATGAAAATATCCCCTTTTCTGCCTTTCAAAATTAATATAGATAAATGAACTTAGATATAATTTTTACATAATCAAAGACTAGTATACTTTTTAAAATGTATTTTAAATTAATAATATGGGACTAAAGTTTCAAAATATATCAAATAAATGATTTTTCAAGAAAACTAGAACTATGTTAGATTTTAAAAGCTACCAATATAAAAGTACAAATTTGAGCCAAAAATCCGGTAATATACTTGTAAGTGTTTTTTTCTTTCTACGTAAACGATCAAAACTTTTTGTTTTTGTATCAATTTGTTTCTTTATGTGACAACTTTACCATATGTGAAAATAAGAGAAATTTTAAGCCCGTTATGGTAAAATTATCCCATGTTTCCCACTATTGTTGATGTCCCTGGCATACTCTCATAACTAGACAGTGATTCCTTATATTTCCATTTCATTGTGAAATAAAATTGTTGATTTAGACTTTAAAAATGCAGACATATATTTATATTACACGAGGATTCCCATCCCAATTTTAGTAGGCCTCGCCGAACACAACAGCAGCCGCACGAAATTTTCATGCATATATTTGGCCTCCATAGCTCCTGACCTATCGACCTGCCTAATTTACATTCCGGCAGAATTATCAGGAAATCAGCTTCGCTTACTTTCAAAGGGTTATCATAGAGAAAAATATTAGAAATGGAAATATATACAATTAACCAATATATCCCTAAAAATGAAGAAAAAATAGAGAAAATTTGCATTAACCAAT